ACTAAACTGGCTTTCAAAATCTCAGAAAAAGGTGACCTTGCTATTTCAATGTAAATGAATCCTAGGATTGTAGAACCTACCCCAAATTAATGACTTCTTATGCAGTCTTCTCTCAACCACCTCATCTAGTTGGGGGTCTTCCTCTTTTTTGCTGACCTTCCACTTTACCCAGCATGTTATCCCTCTCCAGGGACTCTCATACTTCAGACATATTATCAGGAGGGCACAGTCCCTGCAGAGGGACATCATGCTGGGTAAAGTGGAAGGTCAGCAAAAAAGAGGAAGACCCCCAACGAGATGGACTGGCACAGCAACAGCTTAACAACGATTGTGAGGATGGTGCGACCAGGCAGTGTTTCATTCTGTTGTGCATATGGTAGCTGTGAGTCAGAACCGACTTGAAGGGCACCTACCCACCACCACCACCACCACCATAACTCAAATGCATCAATTCTTCGACAATCTTCCCTAGTCACAGTCCAACTTTCACATGAATATATGAGGCTATTGAAAATACTATGGCTTGGGCCAGGTGTACCTCAGTCCTCTCTAACTGACATCTTTGCTCTTTGAACACTTTAAAGAGGTCTTGTGCAGTAGATATGCCTAATGCAATATGTCATTTGATTTCTTGACTGCTGCTTCCATTAGAGTTAGTAATCTTTTCTCTCTTTATCATGATGTCATTTATTGGTCTAGTGGTTTTCTTTACATTGAGGCACTATACTGAAGGCTGTGGTCTTTGGTTTTCATCAATAACTATTTAAGTCCTCGTCACTTTCAGCAAGCAATTTTTTCTTCCTCTTAACTCCATAGGGTCTTCCATGTAAATCCTCTAGTGTCTTCCATGTAAATCCTCAGTATTCCAGCCACAGTGACTAGTCACATGGTTCCCAAACTCCCCTACTGTTAACAGTGCTGCTAGAAACAGTGCCCACACATCTTCACTTCCTTGAGGAACATGCTTTGTACATTTTCATTCTGATAGGCATCGCCAAACTGCCCTCTAGAAACACGGGGCCAGGTGACATTCCTGTTGGCAGAGCACCGAGGCACATGCATTCCTATATGTATTAATTTTACATTCATAAGATGAAATTGAGAACCAGGACTAATATGTTATTGGAATTGGGACCAGAGACTAGGCCTTCTGATTCTAAATTAGTGTTCTCCCCAATCATGCTGCATTTCTAATTTATAAAGAATTAAAATAATGAATATATAACATTAAAACACTACTGAATACAATTTACTGTTTAAGTGACTCAGAACAAATCTTAGGATCATATATAGAACTGTATTCGTAAGCTAGGGTATTCACCATAAATTAAGTCATCTCCACAGTCAAGATGATGAATAGAGATGTCTAGCTGACCTACATCCCTCTCTCTATTACAATGTAGAAGGAGGCTTCAAAAAGTCTGTGGAAAAATGGAATTCAAAGATAATGGAATGTTCTGAAGCCCCCCTTTGTACTTCACCAATTCTGGAATTTTACTCCTTTAAGGAAGCTGTGAGTTATATTGAGCCTGAAATCTAGCATTAGTGTCCAGTTAAAACTTACCTTGTCTTTTATGGCTACCAGCCAATTCTGAGCTCTGCTTTGCTAAATATAAAATAGAAGTCACACAGCCTGGAAGGTAAGGATGAAATGAGATACCCCTGCAAAGAACTTGGTAGTGTGCCTTCCAACACACAGTAGCTACTATATAGGAGAAAATTTAAAGAGTTCCTGATATCATCACGTTAATACAGAAAAAATGGGATCTTTGGTAATAATAATAATAATGCAGAAACATCATACTTGCACTGAAAAAAAATCAAGTTAATATAAAATATGAAAACAGTTGATTGTGTTTCTGATTATAAGTAATTTATGCTTATTCCATAAAGAAAATAAAAAACACCCATAATTCCACTGTGTGCAGAAAATCACTGCCAATGCTGTGGTGTACACCCCTCAAAGTTTTTACACATCGCCGTCTACAGGCCCACTTCTGTGCAGTTTATGAGGTTTTAGACAAATGAGATCAATCAGCTCCATTCTGTACTTTCTTTAATTAAAAAAAAATTAAAAAAAAGGACCTAGTTCCCCAAAAGAAAAAAATATACCCTCCGCTTCTCAAATCAGAGGCTCTAAGAAATGCTGTTTTCCAAGTTAACAGAATATACCACACCTATTTGTGGCGCTGTAGGATAAGCACTGAGCTGCTAACTATAAGGTCAGCAGTTCAAACCCACCAGTCACTCCTCGGAAACCCTAAACAGAGTCGCTACGAGTCAGAACTGAGTTCACAGAACTGAACACCACACCACCATTATTCTACTACAATAAAGATCACCAGCACTTTGGCGTCTAGTGTTTCACTGAAGAGTAAACTTCTAGTGTCTTCCATGTAAATCCTCAGTATTCCAGCCATAGTGACTAGTCACATGGTTCCCAAACTCCCCTACTGTTAACAGTGCTGCTAGAAACAGTGCCCACACATCTTCACTTCCTTGAGGAGCATGCTTTGCACATTTTCATTCTGATAGGCATCGCTAAACTGCCCTCTAGAAACACGGGGCCAGCTGACATTCCTGTTGGCAGAGCACTGAGGCACATGCATTCCTATATCCACTATTTACTTGTGAGGGCCCTGCTGTGGCATTGTAGGACAAGCACCAGCCACACCTTGGAAATCCTGAGGCTGCAATGAATTAAAACCGACATGACGCCGACGGTTAATGCGCTACACAGTTGCTTTGAACCCTAAGGTCCAGAGGTTCAAGCTTACCAGCCACTCCTCGGAAACCCTATACAGGGCCACTATGGGTTGGAACTTACTTGACAGTGCTTAACAACACAAGTTACTAGTAAAAGGCTTTAGGTTCAATTCGGAAAGGGTGGTATTTGGCTCCAGTTAGGAAAAGCTAAGGAGCCATGGTAGAAAAGTGCTTAAGTGCTCAGCAGTCAACCAAAAGGTTGGAACTCACAGATACCTCCAAGGTGCCTATAAATATGGCATTCTTAGAAACTCTGTGGGAAAGCTCTACTCTTTCCTATTGGGTTGCTATGAGCTGGAACTGACTAGAAGACCCACCACAACAGGGAGATGCTATGCAAGAAAAACCACATACACATACACTATTAAAGAAGGAAAAAAAAAAAAAATCAGGATCCAGATAATCAGAAATCCCTATTCCACTGAAAGCTGGGGTTTTCATCATTCTACTCAGTCCTCTTTACCATGTGTTTGTTTTTGGTTGATTTGGTATCTTTTATTTTTCAGTCATCTATAGGCAGAAGGGAAAGGAGGGAACATGTGAGGGTCAGGACAATAAACACCTCCAACAAAGTAACGGAGTCTGACCCCTAACTGGGTACCACTCCTCCTCGCTCTGCTAATGTGCATGTCAAATGTTTTATCCCTAGATGACAACTCAAGTGTCTGCTCTGAATCTTGTGTTCACCAGCCAATGTTCACAACCATCAGTACCCATGATGCTTTAATATGATAAAGTCCTCAGGTTGTTTCAATCTAATACCCTCAACGTGAGAAAGGAAGAAACATGCCCATGCAGGAGAGGCATTTGCCCAGCAGTCTCCTACACCGGACGCTTTTTGCTCAAGCTTTAAATGCGTGTCACAGAGAGATACAGAGCAGGCTCTTCACACAATCAGGTAAAAAGATTCACCTTATGCTTTCTTTAATATGACCATCAAAACAGTCCTTGGAACAGTTGTTGTTAAATGCCACTGAGTCGGTTCTAACTCATTAGCCATCCCTGTGGTTCAAACTGACCTCTCAGTCCAATGCATTATCCTGCAAGGCCACACCAGATGTGGAATGACAGTAAAAGTTTAGATGATGCGCTACCTTTGAACCATTACTTAGAAATTCTCTAAGTATTCACAGAAAGGCCCACAAATCAAAAGGGCTATGGCAGGGGAGAGTGGGAGGTTGCACCCAAAGAGGTAGGAAGATATTCAGGAGTGAGGGGGTGGGAGAGTGATCACAGACCCCCAGAGAAGATTATTTTAGGAGGGAGCCAATAATCGACTATACTTGGGGCTGCTGAAAGAAATAACTATAACTAGATTTAACAAGATAGGAGTATCAAGAAAGAAATAAGGTTAAGGGGAACTGTGTTATAAGAAAGGTATCTGATCTTATAATTGTGTTTTAAGAAGGGTATTTGAAAAAACAACATGTAAGGTACCAAACCAAACCCACTGCCCTTAGGTCCACTCTGACTCAGAGAGACCCTCTATAGGATTTCTGGAACTATAAATCTTTACAGGAGCTGAAGACAGCCTCATCTTTCTCCAATAAGGTACAAGAGTCTCAGCAAAATGACTGAGCTCTGCTGATTTATCAGGCTAAGTACATTTTGATTTCCTCTTCTTAAGTGAAGAGCCAGGGATTCAATGAGTTTTCTCTTCTTATTCCCTGGGGACAGGAGTCTGACTTGGCATGTAGGAGTCTGGTGGCATGTAGAGTTTACATGGAAGGAGGAGCAGCCCAGCCCCAAAGAGACTAGAAGTTTACTTCCCCACTTGATGGTGCTTCATCAAACCTCTAACACTCTCCTGTTCAAACCTACCCTAGGCTTTGTTGTTGTTAAGTGCCATAGAGTAGGGTACTACCCATAGCGACCCCTATATAGGGTTTTCAAGGAGTAGCTGGTGAGCATGAACCACCGACCTTGAAGTTCAAATGGCTTTGCAGTCTGGAGCATTAACCCACAGCACCACACCAGCACTCCTACCCCAGGCTAGAATGTCCTTTATCCAACCCAAAGGGCAATAGAAGGAGGGCCCTCATCCCAGCCCATGGCTACGAGCACTCTTTGGCACATGTTCTTTCCCAAAGCTGCCAATGGTCCACTTGTATAGACTCCAGCCTGTGCCTCACTTTGGTGGTACCAGCGAGGACAAAGCTAGGAAAACAGGACAGAGGCCCGTCCACAGCTGTGTTGTTCATCTCTGCATCTCCTCCTCGCTTCCCGCCCCTTACCTGGGTCATTTTGTCCACAGAGACCGGAATTCCGTCGATGGTGAGAGGCGGCAGTTCTGAGTTAACCTCCTGGGGCGCAGGGGCGTGTTCTGCCAGGGCCGACTCCAGATCTTCCAGAATCATGCTCTTGTACTTACGCACCTGCAGGGAATTAAGGATAGACGTAAACAAGATGCCCGACAACCAGGGAGGGCTGGCGCTAGGCAACCAGTGAGTTGGGGTTGGTGACCCGGAGCTACTGCAGAGCCCCAAGAACAAACACTTCCACCACCAGCAGATAAAAATACCCGCTGGCCCCAAAGACATCACACTGAACCAAGTTCAATGAAGAGATGATGAAATTACAGGTAACAATGAGGAGCCAGTGGAAAAATCTTCATAGAAACACTGTTTCTGACTTAGAATCAGGTTTTCCCAGCGAATGCTGTTGAATCACCTGTTCTGGATCGAATAGTAATGACACTCATTACCCTTCTGTACGTCCCAGGCCAAGCAATGTGCACCTGGCTTCAGCAGCTAATCGCCAAAATCATTGTCAAGATCCTAAGGACTTAAATTTCTCAAACTCTAAGTAGCCTATAAGGAGCTGCTCCTGCTACTTCTTACAAAGCCAGACAACCGAACAGGAGATTCAAGCACACAATAGGGTGGACTGAAAGGAACCATAAAAAACATGACACGTTTATTGTAGCTGGGATTAAAGGTGCCATTACTATTAGGGCCTAGGGCCTAGAGAGCCCCAGAGGTCAAGGCCTTGTCCTTCTGGTACTCCCTGGTGAGAGAGAGGAGCTTAAATCTCGTGATGCCTTATGTCTCTGACAACCACAAGCTTGTTGTCCTTTGGTTCTGTTTGCTCTCCATTGACAGTGAAGGCAACAATGGTACATTTGGACATGCTCACATTCTCCCATCAAGGGCAGACAGGGTAGACAGACACTACGTCCTACAACCATCAACAAAGGGCTCGCTCATGGAGAAGAATACACAGGGGGCTAAAGACACCTTTGGGGAGAACAAAGAAGCCATGGGGTCATGGAAATGTGACAAGATGGGATAGGAAAGTAACTTGTTTCCAGGGCTCAAGGAATTAATGATCTTAGGAAAAATCAAAGAGAAAATTGACCAGAATTCCAACAGTGCTTGAATCCAGAGTTTCCTCTAAGTGGACTGGACTCAATCCAGACACACATCCTTATAAATATCTCGTTGCTGTTGTTAAATGCCATTGGGCCGTTTCCGACTCATAGTGACCCTGCATAGGGTTTTCTAGGAGCAGTTGATGGGTTTGAACCACTGACCTTGAAGTTAGCAGTTCAGTGCTTATCTGATAGCGCCACACCCAGACTCCTAAATATCTCATTCTGAGGCACAAAAGAGAAAGGTTCTTTCCTCCTCTGTCGTTGATTCAATCAATCCTGACTCACTGCAAACCTACAGGACAGGAGTGCTGCCCTACAGGGCTTCCAAGGACACAGACTGCCGCATCTTACTCCTGCGGTGCTCTCAACTGCGACTCTTCTTGTTTAGCAGTTGACAGCTTACCCACTATGCCACACAGTTCCTTGTCGTTATGTGTCAGTTTTTTGTTGTTATGGGTCCAGTCAGTTCGGACCCATAGTGACCCTGTATAGGGTTTCCAAGGAGCAGCTGGTAAGCTTGAACCACCAGCTTTGTGTGTGTTTCAAACGACTGTAGTCCAGCACATTAGCCCACAGCGTTAAACCAGGCCCACAGTTCCTTATGAGTCCTATAATCCACCCCAATGCCTGGAATAGTCAAAATCATTGTTGGCTGTGTAGTACAACTTCTGCAGTTATATGTTGTAGTTATTGCTAAGTGACAGCAAATCGGTTCCGACCCATAGTGATCCTGTAGAGTTTCCAAGGAGTGGCTGGTGGGTTTGAACTGCCAACCTTGTGGTCTAGTGCATTATTCTGCAGTGCCACACCAGGATTCCATAGATCAATAAATAAAAGGGATAAGAGAAAAATGGTGCAAACTTGTGGAACTCTAGGAATATGATTTTATCTAGGTTTCCAACACAAAAAGTAAGTGACTAATGTACTGTCATCATTCATTATATTTATTATAATTTAAGCAACTTGCATTGCCATGGCAATTTTACAGGATTGTATTTTCTGCTTTCTAGGTTTCTGTATTCTATATCGTTTCTACTCTTCCAACCCAAAGAAAACCAGAATTGTTTAAGACTAGGTTCTGGTCTTCAATCTTTAATGTAACAGGTTAAATCATTATAGTAGTGTTTAGGTCTGTAACAAAACTTCCTTGTTCAGGAAACACCTGGCATTCAAAAGCATCATTAACCAGTTTCAAATGGTTTCAGTCACTTCTATGGGCCAGCAATTTTCTAAAAATTCCAATCCAGGGTTTTGCTAAACTTATCAGTGCTGTCATTCCTTAAATTTAACTTGAGATTTTAAAAAACAATGCTGGTAGAGTACCCCATAAAACAAAAAAACTTCAGGTGTGACCACAACATTTCTAAGTTTACTTAGTAAAATCAAGTAGCTTTCCCCACCTGACGAAAGTATATTTCAATTTCATCTGATCTATCAACTCTGAGATACATCCCCTTCTCCCTCTGCTCACAATTTATCAGTTCTCTGAAACTGGAACACATCTTAGATTTGCTGCGGGCAGTTGGGGCCTAGACATCACTGCTGGCATATATGGGAACTGTTACCCCTGGGGGTCCTGGTGTGGCGCTGCAGGTTAATGCACTGGATCATAAGGTCAGTTTGAACTGCAAGGTCAGCAGTTCAAACCTACCAGCTGCTCCTTGGGAACCCTAAACAGGGTCGCTGTGGGTCAGAACCGACTCCATGGCACTTAACAACATCCGTGGGGTATGAGTGCAACCTCTCCCCTTCACAGACAACAAGCCATTCAGCAGCATGTGAGAAAGGAATGAGTCTTGCCTGTTGTCTGATAACCCTCCCAATGACATCTTCTTGTAAAAGCAAGAAGTACCAGTTATCAAACTTACTGCAGCTTGGGAAAAAAAATCTCAGTGACAACAGGAGAGAACTCTTTTAAGGAAAGGATGATGACAAAGGGGACTTTTTTGTTGTTATGTGCCGTGGAGTCAGTTACAAATCATTGTGACCCTGCATAGGGTTTCCAAGGCTGTAAATCTTTACGGGAGCAGAAAGTCTCAGCTTTCTCCTGTAGAATAGCTGGTAGTTTTGAACTGCTGACCGTTGAGATTAGCAGCCCGATTCGTAACCACTATGCTACCAGAGCTCCTGAAAGGGGTCTTAGCATATGAAAAATCACAGACAGGATGACTTTGCAAAAAAGTTTTAGCAGGAACTTAATTTTCACTACATTTTCCTTTTTATATATACACAAAAATGTACACCTACTCCTCGCATATCAACCATCTCATTATACAACAGTTCACATTTTCGACCACAATACAAAAAAAATCTAGTCAACTATTTTGCACATCCATAGGTCGGTCAGTGACAAATGCTCAACTGTCAGGGGAGAAAAACGCTGGCTGTGATGGTTAAGGTTCTGTGTTAACTTGGTTAGGCAGTGATTCTCAGGGGCTGGGCAGTTCTGTCCTGGTGTAGCCATTCTGTTTCTCCATAACACTGATTTTTACGCAGCGAGCTCATCTTTCTTTCAGTAAGTATAAAATCAAAATTCTAAATGGTAAGACAGTATTGTGTCGGGAGTTTGCCAATATATATATTTTTTTCTTTCTTTCCTGGTAATAAAGTAACGGTGCATCTTACAACTGATGGTGTCACAGTATGATGAAATACAGTTTCATTTCCAACTACATCTCTACTCCAAAAACCACAGTTCAAGCCTTTATCACTTCAAATCAATACGACACTGTCAACTGGCTTCACAACTTTAGCTACAAATTGCTCAAAGACAAATCAGCTGGTCCGCATACCATTCTTTTTTGTATCAACCTGTATATCACGGCCATTTAAATTTCCTGAAACACTGATTTAGTATCAACAGAGACCATTTACTGAGCACTTACTCTTCCCCCCAGCCCTACATGCACTATCTCAATTAATCCTCAAATAATTCTATAAGAAAAATACTATTACACCCATTTTGCAGATAAGAAAACTAGGACCTATTTAATAAATGTTAAGTAACTTTCCCCAAAATCATACAGCTAGTTAGAAGCACAGCTGGCAATCAAACTGATTTTGATCTCATCTTAAGGCTCATATGTTCAGCCACTCTAAAATGATTTATATATTTTTTCCCCTCAAAAAAACCAAGTCCAAGTTTCTCAGCCCGGCATTTAAACCTTTCCAATCATTCCCTACTCCAACATCAGGGCTACCAGATAACACCCGTGTAAGTTGTGCCTGTCCAACCCTGTTGTTGTTAAGCACCGTCCAGTCGGTTCCGACTCATAGTGACTCTATATAAGGTTTCAGAGAAGCTGGTGAGTCATCAATCTCATGATTAGCAGTCCAGTGTTTATCCAACGGTGCTCCCTCTGGAGTTCCCAGCATAAAGCCCACGGAGTCCTACTGGGCAGCTCTGCTCACCATCTTCTTCTCTTTAGCTGGCCAGTCTCCTCATAAGCTCTTTCCTTGCACCTGGGTCTTTATTCTGCTTCCTGTCACCATTCAAGGCCCAACTCAACTCCTACTTCCTCTGAGAGGACTACTACGTGTTCTCACCAGAACCGTCTTCCTCCTACAGATGGAAACCAACGCTGAGTCACGTGTCCTGGTATTTCCCTGCACATAACAGTACATGGGGCCAGGTCTACTGTTTCTGAACTTATTTTTACATCTATAACAAAATAGTTCACATCTTCAAAAATATACAGGTAATATATTAACCAATATTTTCTGAATTACCAGGCGTGGCAGGTTTAGTGGGTTTAGAAGCCATTAGAACTCTGGGCACAGGGTGTGCTTGTTAAGTCTGAGGAGCTGGCTGGTAGAACCATTAGGTCAAAGGGCCTTTCGACGTCAAGCTACAAAATACTGCCAGACAGATATCAGAATTCCTGTATATTCTTGAAGCACTTTTGTACACAACAGTCTTCAGGAAGGTCCCATAAAAGAGAAAGCATATAATTTTACTTATGCGTTCCTCTAAGACTAAAAATGTGTCGCCCTCTGAGGTCT